AATGGAGGATAGTCATAGACTTTAGAGCATTAAATGACAAGACGGTAGGTGACTTTTATCCTCTACCTAATATAATATCAATAATTGATAATTTAGGCAGAGCACAATACTTTTCTGTCTTTGACTTAGCCAGTGGATTCCATCAAATAGAGTTGGACCCAAAAGATCGAGAGAAAACCGCGTTTTCAACTACTCATGGGCATTATGAATACATACGAATGCCAATGGGACTGAAAAACTCTCCAGCTACATTTCAAAGACTAATGGATCAAGTTCTAGTAGGATTGCAAGGTGTAGAATTATTTGTATACTTAGATGACATTGTCGTATATGCTCAAGATTTAGAAGAACACGGAAAAAAGGTTAGAAGATTGTTTCAAAGACTAAAAGATGCCAATTTATCACTTCAACCCGAAAAATGCGAATTTTTATTTAGAGAAGTTGGATATTTAGGTCACATCATTAGTAACGAAGGTGTCAAACCTAATCCCAAAACAATAGAAGCAGTACAAAACTTTCCCACACCCAAAACCCCAAGAAATGTAAAACAATTTTTAGGTTTAGCAGGATATTACAGAAGATTTATAAAGGATTTTTCAGCAAAGGCTAAACCTTTAACCAATTTACTAAAAAAGGATATGAAATTTAACTGGGGACCAGAGGAAGATAAATGTTTTACAAATTTAAGAGCAGCTTTATGTACTAGTCCAATTCTACAATATCCAGATTACAGCAAGCCTTTTACCGTAACAACAGATGCTTCAGATTTTGCAATAGGAGCAGTATTAAGTCAAGAGAAAGATGGATACGATTTACCTATTGCCTACCTTTCTCGTGTACTAAACACACCCGAATTAAATTATTCAACAACAGAGAAAGAATGCTTAGCAGTTTTATATGCAGTTCATCATTTCAGACCGTACATATATGGTAAGAAATTTACTCTAGTTAGTGACCACGAACCTTTAAGGTGGATAGACACAATAAAAGATCCAGGACAAAGGTTAATTAGATGGCGATTGAAATTACGAGATTATGATTACGAATTTCAAGATAAATCTGGTAAGTTAAACACAAATGCAGATGCATTATCCAGAAATGTCTATTCAGATGACAAAGAAACTTCAAAAGACGACACTCAACCAATTAGAATTTTAATGAATAAAAAACTTGATAAGATAAAACCAAAAATAGATACTAATATTAGGCCTAAAAGAGGAAGACCAAGAAAAGGCACTGAAAATTTTCAATTAAAATCAATTTTAAAACCTCCAACGTCTACTGCAACATTAGATGTAAGTACAATAGGATCAAGAGTTTCAAAAAGAAGGACAGGTCAATTAAAGAACGACCTTATAGAAATAGAAGAAAGTTCACAAGAAGAAGTTGAAAGACCAAACCCACCTATTCAAAAACCAAGTAAAAGTGTCCTCCCAAGCTTAAAACTTCCTCCAGCAGGAATAAAAAGTCCTCAAAGTCCAAAAAGTGCACCACCTGAATTACTACCGAAATTTAACCTTAGTATAGACAACATAGAAAATCCAATAGTTACAATAGAATTGCCTAATTATACTAGCGAAGAAAGTTCTTCAGTAGAACAAAGAGATATAATAAATTATACACAACAACAACAACAACAAAGAGCAGAATTACAAGATTCTATTGCTCGTTTTGATGAATCATTAAAACAACGTAAAGAATGGCTAAAAAACTCGTCAAAGCCCCATAGAGATTGGCCTATTCATTCTGACGGAGATGATGATGAAGAAGTTCATGAAGCAGCCCTAGATTATATTCCAGGTAATCACGCCGATTTTTCACAACAATTAGAGCTTATTTGGGACTACGCCAAAGGTGAATCAATGTGGAAAGAGCAAAATTCAGAAACAAATAATGAAAACAATGAAAATAATTTTGAGACTGAAGGTTCGGATGAAGAGAATAAAGAGGTGGAAGAGATAGAAAAAGAAGAACAACAAATACATGATACACCAACCACGAAACGAGATAGAAACATTAATCGAAAAAGTGTAACCTTTCACGATATAAACACTTTTGCCTATCTCAACAACCCTACAGCAGCATCCACACCATATCATGGAAAAATAGAAGAAATAGAGACAGAATCAAGTAGTGAAGAATTAGAAGATTGTAAAAGAAAAGAAAATAAAGACGATCAAAATAAAAGACTTATAATAAAAACCCCTTTATCCAGTGTTTATCCAGAAATACCATTTAGCCTTTCCACAATAAAGAAAGAAAACACAAATATCATGAGCAGTAGAGAAAATCTTACATATTATAGAGGCAATTATGTTCATTTTATATCTGCAGATTGCGAATTTAACACCTCTATTAGCAGATTACTTATTGACATAGGAGTAATAGATGTACAAGAACTAAAAAACAAAAAACCAATAAAAGGACAAATTATAATAACCCCAAGAGGAAAATACAATATTTTCAGTATAGTTATAAAACACAATCATTTTGATCCATTAATTAAAGAAGATGTATATATTGGATTAAAAAACTTAAAAACCTTTTGTTATCGAAAAAAAATAGAAGAAATAACAATATCCAGAAAAGGAGATTTGACCGACGAACTAGCAAGAGGAGAGTTCTTACAAATCCTTAACTCAATTTTTGAAAATAGTAATATAAAACTAACAATATGTTACGGACAAATATCAGTACCTAAGGAAGAAGTCAGAATGGACATCATTCGAGAATTTCACAGAAGTAAGATAGCAGGACACAAAGGAGTAACTAAAACATACAGAAGAATAAGAGAAAAATTTTCATGGCCAGGAATGAAGAATCAAGTAACCGAATTTATTAGAAAATGTCCCACTTGTCAAGAGCAAAAACTAGTTCGAATTAAAACCCGTGAACCAATGCTTATCACAGATACTCCATTAGACGCTTTCGATAAAGTTTCACTAGATACTGTAGGAAAATTACCCACTACTCCTGACGGTAATTGTCATATCCTTACGATGCAGGATCAATTAACTAAATATTGTATAGCAGTAGCTATTCCTGATATTTCAGCAACTACTATAGCTCATGCAGTTGCAAAAGAATTATTTTCTGTTTATGGAGCCCCGAAAGTAATACTAACTGACAAAGGCACTTCATTCACGGGAAAATTAATGGCTAAATTATCCAAAATATTTGAAGTTCAACAAGTAACTACCTCTGGATATCGACCGCAAACGAATGGATCATTGGAGCGAAGTCATGCTGTATTAGTAGAATATATCAAGCAATATGCTGCCGCTTATGATGACTGGGATAAATTATTACCTTTCGCCATGTTTGCATACAATACTTCAGTTCATGAAGCAACTAATTTCACTCCCTACGAGCTTGTCTTTGGAAAGATAGCCCGTACTCCTAGTTCCTTTCCTTCGGAAGAAAAATTAGAAACATATGGTTCTTATTTGACTGAACTAATAACTAGATTAAAGGAAATTCGAATCATCGCAGCAAATAATTTACTAGCAGCAAAATGGAAATCAAAAGAAAGATACGACCGAAAGGTTAAATTGTTTAAAGGAAAGATAGGTGATAAAGCCTATGTAATTCGGGAAGGTATCAAAAAGAAATTTGACCCACACTATCACGGTCCATACAAAATCGTAGATATCTTAGACAAAAATAATGTAATTTTAACAAATGAAGAAGGTCAAAGGTTCCAGAAACACGTTGATAAATTAAAACTTTCGTATGAATAAAAATAATAATACTATTTTATATTTTATAGATGGCTCAACTGGTACTCCAAACACCACCCCTTCAAGGAGAAGTGATTGAGGAAAACAAATTTCCTAAAGGAAATATTAGCAGAATCGAATTCCCAAAAAAGGAGTTAGAGGAAATAGCTATTGAATACGATTTCACTAAACCCATATACGTAATAGAAAAAGTAACAGGACCCCCAAATTGTAGGAGATATACTGTCAAATGTACTTTAAAAGACCTTAATAATGGTAATACGTTTGTAACTTTAGCGGAAAATGAAAGGAAAATAAAAGATGCTAAACATACAGCTGCATATAAAATTCTAAAACAATTAGATGATACTTATTACTTTTGCGAAGAAGAATCTAAATCTTATCTGAATGTAAAAACTTATGTAATGTGCTTAGAACAACCAACGATTTTAAAATTAAAACTCTATAAATGGACTAACAGTTGCGAGAGCTGTTATGAAAGAGGGCATATAAAATCAAACTGTAATAGGCCTATCCGAAATAAACGACTAATACCAAAGACATGTACAGAAACTGACAATAGCGATGAATTCTGGGAAATCCCAGGAAAACCAATTGACGAACCCAACAACAGATACAATGACGATGATAGATGGGATTAAAAAAAAAAAAAAAAAAAAAAAAAAAAAAAAAAAAAAAAAAAAAAAAAAAAAAAAAAAAAAAATGTATAAATAAATAAAATGAATAGATATATATATAGATCAAACGAATGGCAAAATTATACTTAAAAATGTTTTAATAATACAAAAATTTAAACTAACTATTAAAATAAATATTTTAATAATTAATAATAAACACAATATAATTATAAGAAATTGTTATCACAATCTATAAGTAATCAATCAATAAATACATTATCAAAAGTTGTAAAAAAAAAAAAAAAAAAAAAGAAGGACGAAAGAAAAGAAGGAAGGGGATTTGGAGGTTGCCTTCTTCTTTCCTCCTTATTATTATTATTATTATTATTATTATTATTAAAAAAAAAAAAAAAAAAAAATTTAAGGTGTTTACACACCAAAAGAGCAAAACTTATAAAAAATTAATTTTTCAGATGGAAATTCCATTTTTGGGGATATTTTTTGACGCAACCAACTACATTTCATTGGCCTTTAAAATAGTACTTGTCTTAATCGCTCTCATAGTTATTAAAAATTTATACATATTGTATAGAGTCATAGCTATGCGAAAAAGACGTACAAATACAAGAACAACGGTTTAGATTCAATCATACTCCACCTGCAAATTTTCATTGAGGGCAATGAAAATATAAGGAGGGAGGACAAGACTTAATTTTCAAAAAGTTTAAACAATCCGCCAAGGAAATAGTGCCATCCATGATTATTTTGTTCCACTTCTTAAATATCAAAATAAATGTCATACACACTTGAAACCGTTGTGCGACAACCCTAACATTATGTTAAAATAAATGTCATACACACTTGAAACCATTGTGCGACAACCCTAACATTATGTTAAAATAAATGTTATACACACATGAAGCCATTGTGCGACAACCCTAACATTATGTTAAAATAAATGTTATACACACATGAAGCCATTGTGCGACAACCCTAACATCATGTCAAAAAACAAAAATTATTATTTTATATATTAGATTCACTTGTGCGTAAGCCTTAAAACATACAGCATGTGTATCGCACGATAACAATACAATATACAAAGTAAACCAACCTTAAAGACAAAAGTTATGCACATGCGTAAAATTGTAAATAATGCTAGTTTATGTAGCTTTAACCAAATATCGACTTTTATTATCGACCATGCGAGTTTAGAATTATGGAAACCATGTGATGTATAGTGGACATTGCATCTATGAATGTGTACAACCAAGACCAATCAATCAAACAAAAATAATACTTTCAAAATTCTAAAATTATTTAATAAACATTCGCAAAATCTACTCTATTTTTACATGAAATTTTAAAATGTATGATTCAACAATCAAAAATAATAAAAAAAAAAAATTATAGGGAATAAGCAAGCGGTTTTTGTATTCCTTTTATTACTGACCATACGAGTACACCGCGACACGCCATATTGTCGGCAATGACTGTATATGTATACACCTTGTCAAATTTTGCTACACTATCGATGTATATAACTTTATTTTATTTCAAATTGATAAAAACTTTTATTATAACAAACTTAAAAAAAAAAAAAAAGAAGAAGAATTACATTAATATAGATCATATGAAGTAAAATAAAAACAATCCTTATAAACTATAATACGTGATACATCAAACATAGTAAATATGAATTTGAACAAGCATAATTATTTAATTAACAAAAAGAAATATTAATAGTAATAATATTTATTATAAACAATAATAATGTGTAATAACCTAATAGAAATAACGATATAAAATATATATGGGACGTTCCACGTCAACAAGGACAGGCTTCTGCCCAAAAATGGTTTTGACGGATTTCAATGTTCTAGGGATTAAAAAATTCGTAAATTTCTATACTTTCGAATGCCGAGTGGCGTTTTTCAAAATTTTAAATGGCGGCTCCATTATGGCGCATAAATGGCAGTAAGTTTGAAAATTTAAAAATAAATTTGTGAATTAAACGTCTTAAAGAATTCCATTCAATCTAAAACACCTCATACAACAGTTTTTGGGGTCACTGAATGCAAATATAATGTTAGTTTTCCAAAATTCAAAATGGCGAATTCAAAATGGCGGTAAAAATTTTTAAAATTGATCAAAATGGCTTAAAACTTATTTCTCAGGGGTTTTTTGGGTCACTTATTATGAATTTGAAGTTATTTTTAATAAATAAGCAAAAATAAAATAAATTTTAAAATGGTGGATCCAAAATGGCGGACAAATTTTTTTAAAAACGCTCGAAATTAATTGAAACTCTATTCTAGAGGGTTTTCTTGGCCGCTAATTACGAATTTAAAGTTATTTTTAATAAATAAGCAAAAATAAAATAAATTCCAAAATGGCGAATACAAAATGGCGGACAAATTTTTAAAAACGCTCGAAATTAATTGAAATTCTATTCGAAGGGGTTTTCATGGCCGCTGATTACGAATTTAATGTTATTTTTATTAAATAAGCAAAAATAAAATAAATTCCAAAATGGCAGATCCAAAATGGCGGACAAATTTTTTTAAAAACGCTCGAAAATGATTGAAACTCTTTCCTAGGGAGTTTTCCTGGCCGCTGATTACGAATTTAAAGTTATTTTTAATAAATAAGCAAACATAAAATAAATTCCAAAATGGCGGACAAAAATTTAAAAAACGCTTGAGATTAATTAAAACTTTTCGGTATTCCCGAAAAGGACTGATTGTAGTTTAAATTGAAGATTTTGGAATTATGCAAACTGGTAGTCCTGAAAACGACTGATTGTAGTTTAAATTAACGATTTTGGAATTATGCTAACTTGTAGTCCTGAAAAAGACTGATTGTAGTTTAAATTAAAGCCAAAATAATGTGAACGAGCTAGGATAGTTTTTACAGTGGTGGGGATACGCGGCGTGGTAGGACCCAGCAACGCGCTGATTGATCCGCCCGAGTCACATGATTTCTAGAACATGTCCATATATGGTCATATAAGAAGCGACTAATTGTGGAATAAAACTGGATCAATAGGTTTACTTTGTGACTGGCAATATTATTAAAAAAATTTAATTACCATTATTTTATTATTAATATGTGAAATCATTAAATTACAATTGAAGCCAGATCGAAAAGCTCCGGTTCGATAAGACTGTTTCCTTCGGTTGCAAACTAGGAAAAGTAGAGAGCATAGTGAGGTTCTGCAGTGTCTGTCAGTAACGTATACCTAAAAGGATCTTTGTGCCCGATGTACTTCATATACATAACCGGAAAAATAAATTTGTATTTTTTTTTGTTTATCAATAATTTATTATTAATTAATTTCATTATATTCTATTATTATTAATACTATTCGACTTTGGATCCAGTTTAATGTCACCTGTGAGTCCGTCCACATGAATACTGGCATGTGAGATAAATCCAGCGTCCGTTGAATATAAACCATGAGTCGGGTTAATAATTGCGCTGCCGTGAGTTCCAACCTTGGAATGGTTAGTTTCTTGGGTAGTGCAACCTTTGTTTTTGCACAAACGAAATTGAGAGTTGGTTCGAGATCTGAGTTTGTTGACTTGATATAGATGACTGCTGACATTGCTAATTGAGATGCGTCCGAAAATCCATGAAGTTCAACCGTTGATTGTGCCGTGAGATTTAGCCACCGTGGAATTGAAATCATTGAGAGTTGATCAAGTTCCCGTTTGAACTTGAACCATTTTTTGATGATTTCATCGGGAATTGGGTCGTCCCAGCCGAGATTTGCTAACCAAAGCTCCTGTAATAACATCTTGGCTCGTATGATGAATGGTGATAAGAATCCAAGTGGATCGAATAGTTGAGCTACCTCCGAGAGTATGATCCGCTTGGTGGTTGGTCCCGATGATTGACTTGGTAACTGAAAGATGAATTTAAAGCAGTCACTTTGAGTGCACCATGAAAGACCAAGTACTTTCGTGATGTTGCTTTCGAATATGTGAGTCCCTTTTGAGATTTGTCCAGGTGCAATACTGTTGATTAGATCCGGATGGTTGCTTTGCCATTTGGCCAATGGAAAGCCGCCGCGTTTGAGAAGTTCCTCCGTTTGTTGAGCAATAGGGATGAGTTCCTCCAGTTGATCCGCTCCACCGTAAATGTCGTCTACATATCTGCCGTTGATGAGAACTGGTACCGCCAGAGGGAATCCGTGACCTTCATCCTGGATGAGCTGAAGAATTGCACGAACTGCCAAAAAAGGTGCTGATTGCGTACCATAACTGACAGTCGTAAGTTGATATGGCACCTCCTGTTGATCACGATCGATCCATAATATCCGCTGAAGATCCCAATCAAGTGGGTCGACCTTGATCTGGCGAAACATTTTTGTGATGTCCGATGAGAAAATAAATCTAAACCTCCTGGTCCAGAGCAGCACGTCTGAGATGTCCCTTTGTAGTTTCGCCCCGGTGTGAAGAATGTCGTTGAGTGAATACCCTGAGCTGGTTGGGCTGGAACCATTAAATACAACCCTTAATTTTGTGGTTGTACTTTGTTCCTTGAGCACGCCATGATGAGGTAGGTAGTAAACTGGTGATGGTTGATCCGATGATGGAGCACGAACCATGTGAGTGTCCCTTTCGTACTCGTTGAGAAAAGATTGGTAGAGATCCCCGTAAGCCTGATTTTTTGAGATCCGCCTGAGTGTTGATTTTGACATCGATGATGAATTGAGTGGCAATCGTACAATGTATTTGCCCGTTGAGTCCCGCGAATGAGTGGTTTGAAAATGATGCTCACACTCTTGTTCCTCTGGTGTGAGTGAGTCCTTGACCTTGAGTGGAACCTCCTCTTGTTCCCAGAATTTTGCCAAAAGATCTGAGATGTCGTTGAGCTGGTGATTGACCGAGAGATGATGTGAGTGACCAGGCCAAGATGAGGCTGCATTGACTGGCCCAGGAATGGCCCCATGGTCTGCCGTGACTGGCCCGAGGATGGCCCAACCAAAGAGCGTTCTTTGAGCCGTGAGTGATGAGTTCTTGCCGTGAGTGAGACCTGGTTTTAACAATTGCCCATAATGATCAGCTCCGATGATGATGTCTATTTTTGAGCTGTGAAAATATTGAGGATCAGCCAATTGTAAATCTTTAAATTCAGGAATGGATTGAGCATTAAGCGAGATTGAAGGAAGTGTTGAGGATAGTTTTGAGAGGATGTAAGCGTTAAGCAATAAAGTTTCATCATAGTAAATTGATTGAAGCGTGATTGAAACTATTCCGCGAGTACTGCCGGATGCTGTTCCTCCAATTCCAACAATCGGAATATTTGAATATTGCCTTGTGAGTCTAAGTTTTGAAACAAGCTGTTCAGAAATAAAAGATAATTCTGACCCTGAATCTAATAGAATCCGTACCGGATGAGAAAGTCCAGAATTGAGCAGAAGCAAAGCTTGAGAAGTGGCAAGAAGCACAATAGGTCTAGTAGTGAAATGATTGTTACCTTGAGCTGTCAAAACATTCAGTCAATCTGACTTTTCGTCCTTTTGAGTATTGTGAGTTGTCGCCGATTGAGTGTTGACCTTACTTGAGTTCGCGTTTGAATCCAGTACGTGAATCATCGTGTGATGCTTCCCATTGCATTCCCTGCATCTCTTGTCGGATTGACAAGAATGAGCTGAGTGTCTGCCGAGACAGTTGAAGCAAAGACGGTTTTTGGTGACAAAATCCTGTCTTTCTTGTTGAGTGAGTTTCCTGAATTTTTCACACACCACGATGAAGTGAGAGTTTTCGCAAAATGAGCAAGCGTATCCATAATCCTGATGAGAGACCGTGAGGGCTCTTGCCAGTCGTGATGTTTGAGCATGAGAAGTAACCTTGGGTTTAACAGTTGAGTTGTTGCCGGGTGCTTTGGCTGCTTGAGAATATTGAGAGTTTAATTGCATGTTCTCCAATGCACGAGCGCGTCTGTTGAGAAACTCCTTGAGCAGCTGATAAGTGGGTGGGGTCGACCGTGACCCCAGCTTGACTTCCCATGCTTCCCGAGTTTGAGGATCCAGCCGCCGAGTGAGAAAATGCACCAAAACTAAATCCCATTGATCTACCGGTGCACCGAGTGCAGTGAGTGCATTGAGTGATTCCGTTGTCGTGGCGAGCAAAGCGTTGAGATCACTGGCCGATTTCGATGAAATGACCTTGGTGTTAAAGAGCTTGTCCATTTGAGATGCGATGAGTAATCTCTTATTTTCGTACCGAGACGAAATCATCAGATTGAGTCTGCTCATTTGCGTAACAACTTTGAAAGTGAGTCGTACCTTGAGCGTGGCCTTATTTGAATTGAGTGGTTGAGTTAGTACCTTGCCTTTTTTGCCAAGGTTAACTTCCTTGTTGAGTTCCGAGTGAGTGTGAGGCTGTTGAAATGATCCTGATTGAGACTGAGCATTGTCCGTTTTCAAGGGTGATGCCTCTTCCTTCACCGTGAGTTTCTCCATGGTGTGAGTAACTTCCTTGACTTCCTTGTCAGATGAGGGAGATCTAATTTCGTCGTTGAGTTTTTCCGTCGATGAATGCGGTGTCGAATCAGTTGATTTTGTACTCATGGTGAGAAGGAGAGAGACCGAGCACTAATTGTTGAAAGAGAGAGAGCGCGCACAACGTGTTGGGAGAGAGAGAGAGCGCGCACCACGTGTTGAGAGAGAGAGCACTTTCCAATGAGAGAGAGAGAGCGCGCACCACGTGTTGAGAGAGAGAGTAATATAGTGTGGAGAGAAGCCAATATGGCCGACACTGAGAATCGCCGAGCAAGTCGATGTCCGTCAGAGCGAGAGCCTTGAGTCCACACCACCTGCGCACTACACTTGCATTTCACCTTTCACTGTACTGACGAAAACTCACAATTTTCCCTTTTTTTCCAAACACTATCCGGCACGAAGGACCAAATGTTTAATATTGAATGAAATGAGTGAGTGAATTGGGGATTAAGGAATTTACAGAAAAATACAGACAAGAATTAATTTATTCCAAAAATACAGCGAACACTTGTTGCGGAGAAATAGTGCACAGAAAAATGGCGTGACCATGTCGTGTGGTCACGTTGTAAATAAAAGGTATATTTTTGTATAATGTTCCGTGTTGAGTCCGACCAAAACTAATAATTGTGAGACACTTGAAAACCACAACACAGAATGAGAAATACAAAGGCGAATCTACATTCGATGAAATAATTGATAATTTGCTTAACGCGATTATGAACGAACTTGTCTACTACGAATCTAATGAGCAACTGGTGGTCCGTACGACGCGCGCCATTATGTGTGTGGAATTTGTGAGTGTGTGCGTGGCGTCGTATGGTTGTAAGTGAGAATTTAAAGGTGTTTGAGTGTGAATTTGAGCGCGAGTCCTGACGAAAAGTATGAGAAATGTTTTGGCGTCAAGACTACAATTTTTTGGTGTCGAGGCTTGGTTTTGAATGTGAAATTTTCCACCTTTTCCCGGATTTGAAAGGCAAGAATATTCAACACAGTCAAACAAAGTTTTTTTTTGCATTTTTATTTATATCAATATTTCCTATTATTAAAAATTAAGATATTTTCTTTATATATGGATTTTCATTTTAATTTAATTTACTTTATTTGATATCAGATAATCGTTTCCTTTGAAGTGTTTCAATATTTTTGATGTTTTTAGGTTGGAAAATACAATGGAATCTGACAAATTTTATATTGAATCATCCAATAAGAAGAAATGTAACATCCAATTTCTACAAAATAATGAGGAATCTTTTGGAAATAATGAAAAAAAAGAAGAAGAAGAAGAGTTAACAAAAAAACAAAAATCACTTCATTCTGAAAATGTTTTTGAAAAAAATAATAAAGTGTGTAATGCAGGGCTTACTACTGCTAATTTTAAAAACATTAAAGTAAATTGTCAACAAATATTAAAGGCCTATGAAATTTATAAGACGGTTGCACAACTGTTAAATACTGGGAGGTTTTTAATACGATGTTGAAGAGAAGAAAAATTTCTTCAAATGAAAATTATTTAAAATACCGGCATATAAAATATTTTAATGCTTCTGCTTCCGAACATATTATGCAGAGAGCTTACATTTTAAAAGCTCATTATAATTATGATAGTCTTAACGCTAACCAGTTACAAATAATTGATATTAACAATAAAATATTTTCAAATCAGCTATTTCAAAATGATTCTAGTAAATCTGAAGGAAAATTTTTGATTTTATTAATTCAAATAGGTTGACAACTCCTTCATGATGGACGATGATGATGATGAAATGTTATTACAAGCTTTAGAAAATACTACAAATAAAATAATTGAAAACAATGAAAATTTAACAAAAACTGAAACAAATGTTGAAAATCCATTTTACGACGAAATTTTAAATGATAATATTTTAATTGAAGAATTATTTAAACAGTTTTAAAATTATTTTTAATGTTTCATTGATTGGCAAAAATATTTCATTATAAAAATAATTGTAATACTAAATGTTTATTTTTTAAGGTATTACAATAGTTTTAGTCATATATGAAGAAAAAAAAATCGGACAAGTGCGAGTTACACTCGCACTGAAATCGAGGGTTCCGTACTCGAAGCGAACTTATTTGGTATAAAAACAAATGTTTAAAAAATATGTGTTGTATGTTAAATAATATGTGTAATACAAAAAGAAACAATTTAAAAAAAAAATTTGAGAAAATTGTTCCTTCTTTGGTATAAAAACAAAAAAAAATTTAAATATGTGTTGTATTTCAAATAATATAAGTGATACAAAAAGGAACAATTTTGTAAAATTTAAGAAAATTGTTCCTCTTCGTATCACTTATATTATTTGAAATACAACACATATTTAAATTTTTTTTTTGTTTTTATACCAAAGGAGGAACAATTTTCTCAAATTTTTTTTTTAAATTGTTTCTTTTTGTATGACATATATTATTTAACATACAACACATATTTTTTAAACATTTGTTTTTATACCAAATAAGTTGGCTACGAGTACGGAACCCTCGATTTCAGTGCGAGTGTGACTTTTTGGGTTGAATATTATGTGCGTTAGGGAGAATAAATCATTTTTTTCGAAATTTTTGATTTTTCCTTTGACAACGCTATGTAAATTGATCGGAATCAAGTTCGCTATATTTTTCCTGTAATTTTCATGTAAAAATACGTAAGTGTACCAAATTTGAGCTCTTTATGTCAAAAGATGTGGCTGCTAGGGGGGGGGGGGTACATAGTCATTTTTAGGTATTTTTCGTAAAAATTCATGGTTTTCTTTGACAACGCTATGATAATCAACTCCAATCATGCTCGCTATATTTTTTTTGTAATCTACACGTAAAAATACGTTAAAATAAATAAATTTAAATCCCTTTAAATAAAATTTTGTTCGTTTTTGATGGAAAAATACATTTTTTCCTAAAATTGTCATTTTTTCTTGAAAAACTTGATAAAAAGTTAATCATCAACTCTAATAGTGATTGCTTTTTTTTCCCTGTATTTTTCCCGTAAAAATACAATTGTATACTAAATATGAACTGTCTGGGTTGAATATTGTGTGCGCTTGGGAGAAAAAATCAATTTTTTCGAAATTTTTGATTTTTCCTTGACAACGCTATGTAAATTGATCTGAATCAAGTTCGATATATTTTTCCTGTAATTTTCACGTTAAAATACGTAAGTGTGCCAAATTTGAGCTCTTTATGTCAAAAGATGTGGTTGCTAGAGGGGGGGTACATAGTCATTTTTAGGCATTTTTCGTAAAAATTCATGGTTTTCCCTTGACAACGCTATGATAATCAATTCCTATCAGGTTCCTTATATTTTTCCTGTAATCTACACGCAAAAATACATATGTGTACCAAATTTCAGCTTTCCAGATAAATTCGTGTGGCCGCTAGGGGGGGGGGTACACGATTTCAAAAAAACCGATATTAATAGGGTTCCGAACCGAGTACGGAACCCTAAAAATATAAATAACTGAACAAATTTTCATGATATTGTATTTAGAGAAAATAATTTTTATTTTAATGTAATTAATTTGTAAAAGAAACAAATAAATTAATTAATACAGCAATGTTTGAATTATATTTAATACAAATATTTAAATTTTTACATTCTATTATCATGTACCTAGAAATTTCAATTCCTTCTTCGATAATTTTTTTACCATTTATATTATATTTAACATATTAATATATTATTTACATTTTAAACTATTAGATTTATTATTTTACCATTAATATAATTTTTGAATAATGTTGTGTATTATATTTAAATTATTATTTTTATATAAATTCAATTACAATAACATAGTTTTTATTAATCGTTAAATTGTATTTTTTAATTTCATTCTTGATTTTTAATATCCTCCTAAATAATAATTAATTATTTTACTGAATTATTTTCAAATCAGGAAGGCTTAACATGTACGGGCTTGAAAATTAGTTTCGCTTTTTGGATATTGTTTTACAAACAATTTTAGACGACACGTTATTTTTATGTTGCTGAAAATTATTTTTTTTAATTATAAGGGTTTAAAGTTTGAAAAAAATAGTCCGGATACTAGCGTACTGGTACAATAAATAGCCGGATAAAATATTTTCGTCCAACTAGAAGGTCTTTTAACTGAATAACACAACAAACAAAACGTCCGTAGAAACATTTTCATCCGGATAGTGAAATAATTGATTATAAGAAGTTGTATCATTGTAATCAATTAAAATGTCCCCAATTTTTCATTATCAAAATTCCCTGATTTAATCTTTATTTTCCTGGCAGGGTCCTATCGACAGTCATATGGGTCCCCTCTTTTGAAAGATAGAGAAATTATTATTAGACAATATAATGAAATGTTCCTAAAAATTTAAATTATTACGTTTTTATTTTATTAATAACAAAAGATAATAGAAATCGACTCAATTCGACATAAAAATAGTGAGAAAACACTCTATATTTTATGTAAAAAATTTTTGGAAGCTGTGCTTTTTGAAGGTTTTTATTTGCTCTTTCTAACGGTAAATTTCTTTTTTTTAAATTTTTGAATTTTGACCTTGATTTTCTATAATTAAACATAAATTTGTTATTTTCATTAAAATTGATGCGTTTTTTTAAAACAAATAATTGCAAATGAAAGCTGAGGTTTTTTCCGATCTGTAGGTACATTTAAAAAAAATATTTTTTTATCTAAAAATTAAAAAAATCATTTAACGTTCATTTTTGATTGGATTTTCTTTAGCTTTATTCTTTTCATTAATTAATAAAACCAAGCTTTAAATTTAAAAATTTTTTTTTTGCAAATATGAAATTTAAAAAATTTAGAAATGATGATTGCAATGAAAAAAAATGAAAGAGGCCGACTTTGCTGCTATTATTTCATTTACCATGTTCAATAATATTATTTTTTTTGTTATAGTTTTATTTTCTTATTAAATACCTTTTTTTAATTTTCAGGTTATGTCGGCAACATGTTTTTAAGTGTACTTCATTTAAAAGAAAATTGTATAAAATAGTGCACATACGACAAACAGAAGGGTAAAGATTCCTGAAGTGGCCCCCTGATTTGCAAACGTGTAATGAA